CGCTGGCTCTTATGTCTTCTTATGTCTCCTTATCCACCATGGATGCCAACCCTAGGAAGATCTTGTACTCAGGCTTTGTGACTCAGTCTTGGCCTGGGAGTGTGGGGGAGTGAAGTGTATGGGAACTTGGAAGCCCTCACTAGGTTGCACTGATGGGCAAGATGCTGGACCACAGCTAGGCCAGGGAGTGTGGGGATCCATAGACATGTAGGCAAGGAAAGTCCAGATCACTGACTAATCTATGCCCACGAGCAGGCAACTTGACCCTAGCTTGCATTAACAATGTCTGGATGGAAAGGGAGGAAGGTCTGGGTCATTCACAGGCAGGCCTGGAATGCTGTGCTTTTCTGAGCAGAAACAGAGGAGTAGATTGGGGTGGGTGCAGAGGGAGAGTGGGCGAGGGACTGGGAGAGAAGGAGGGAGGGGAAACTGCAGTCAGGATGTAAAAATAATTAATGAATTTAAAAAACAAGCCCAAATACTCAGCCTATGAGGGACTCAGACCTTCATCCTTTATTATCTCCACATTAACAGAGTTATATTGGATTAAGCTGCCTGCTTACCAGTTTACTCTGGCAAGTGATCCACATTAGGCCTTCCCCCATTTTATATATATATCTCAATCAAAGTCCAAGGCTAGTTGGGTGATGTAGATTACCCCTACCAGCTCTGCATGTGAGTTCCTAATAGCTACCCACCCTCTCTCTCCCTAATATAGCTTGGTTCATCAAACTGTTTCCTCTCTTAGCCTGAAGAGAGTTCAAGGCCCTGCATGTTCCCTACTCATACTTTGAGGCCTAACCTGGGTTGCATAGCCTGTACGTCTGTCCAACTTGTGGAGAGACCTGGACCCTTATACTTCCAGGACTTATTAGTATGCCCTGGGGGCGGGGGCAGGGTCTTGATGTCTCAGGAGCTTGACATTTTGGGTAAGCTTGTTACTGTTTTGGGCGCTTGTTACTGTTAGGCCTTGTAGAATTAGTATGATGTAGAAGGACAGGACTTTGATCACTCACCAGTCTGGGTTTGTGCCTAGGCTACTTGACCCCAGCTGGTACAGGAGGGCAGGGTTCTGTATCACTCACTGGGCTGTGCTGGTCAGCAATTGGCTTCATCTGAACTAGGCCTGGGAGCGTTAGGAAGGCCCTGGAGGGGAGTCCTAAACATCAAGCAGACTGGCCTGGTGCTCACTCTGTGTGAACAGATAGTGGCTTCTGACTGTGAGGATAGCTGAGGCAGGAGGAGATCTTGGGTAACTGCTCTGCTTGTGACAGATAAGCCGCCTAGCCAGAGTAAATCCCTGGAGTGAGGACTGTCAAGGAGAAGGAAGTCTTGATCACTGGCTGGGATGCACTAGTAAGTAGGCTGCTTGCACCCAGCAGGTCTCAGGACTGTTAGGCTGATGGAAAGGCCTGGGGTCAGATCGCTTACCAGGTTAAGCTGGTGAGTAGAAAGCTCTTCCTGGGAGTATAGGGATGGCAGGGGAAGGCATAGATGGAGCTAGAGCTGGGAGTGTGCTAATTGTGCAGATGGGTGGGCTTATGGCCTAGCCTGGAGGGTACGCACCTTGGCTCAAACCAGGCATGGGAGTGGGAGGACACTGTGTAAGAGGAGAGTCTTCGTTACTTACCAGGATGAGCTGGTGTCTGGGTGGCTTGACCAATGCCTGAGACTATGGGGATGTTTCAGGGACATAGTCTGGGTCATTTACCAGGCTTCACTGTTCAGGGACCCGCTTGACCAAACTAGTTCTGGGAAAGTTTTGCAGAAGGTGCTGGAGTGTGAGCCTTGATCACCCACAGGGCTGGGGTTTCACTTAAGCTGTGTGTACCAATCTAGGCCTATCAGCGTGAGGAAGATGTGGAAGAGAGAGTCTAGACTGCGACGGTACTTAGGGCATTCACTTCTTTCCTCTGGTGTCTACGCTGCCTGACCTCAACCAGCCCTAGAATTGTTTCTATGCTAGGGAAGTGTGGAATCCAGGGTCACTCATCTCTTTGGGTTGGTACAGTCTGCTCATTATCATGAGACCACAGCTAGACTGAGTAGCTGCAGGAAGGCAGAGGTCTGGCTCACAGTGGAGGTTTGCCTGCTCTGAGAACCGCCTGAGTAGAACTATGGTTCGGGGTATGGGGATGGTGCTGGATGGCAGCCTTAATTCCTTACCAAGAGACACATGTCCTGAGGATGTCATGACATCCTGGAAGTGTAAGGATCCAGGTCTCTCCACAAGTTGGATAGACGTACAGGCATTGTTACATTGACATTTTTTTTCTCCAGTTGTGCTTGGTTCTACAGTAGGTCTCTGGGTCATCCAGCCTGTGAATTCTGGTGCTCCAGGCAGTATTGAGGGTGGTCTCATTCTCGTAGCATGGGTCTTAGGCTGGACCAGTCATTGGCTGGCCACTCCCTCAATCTCTAGGCCACCCTTACCCAGCACATGCTGGTGAATCAACAGGATTTTAAATCACTCATAAAACGGAGTTGGTGGACAAACTGCTTAACCTCGGGTAGGCCTGAGATATAAGGATGATTCGAGAGAAAATATCTTCAATATCAACAACCTGGCTAGTGTCCAGGCTGCTTGACCTTAGCTGGTCCTAGAACTTCAGAAATGACATAGGACTGCAGGGTCTAAATTATGCACCAGGCTGTGTCCGTTGGCTTTATTCTTGACCTGAACTAGACTTGGAGATCTGAGCAGGTTACTTTACTATAAGTCTGCATCAGTCACAGGGCTAGGATATTGTTCAGATTATATAGTCCAAGCTAGACCTGCGAGCGTGAGTATAAGATGGCAGGTAGGGACACTGGACACTTAGTATTGTGCCCTAACACCCATGCTGTGTGACACAATCTTGGCCCATGAGTGTGAGGAACAGGTGAGTGTGAAGATAGGTGATGACATTGGATGCTTACAGACGGGGCTCATGGACAATCAGCTGGACCACAGATATGCCATGAGCATGAGGATGCTTGGTCCCTGAGCAGCAGTCAACTTTACTCCAGCCAGGCCTGGGACTGTGAGCGCGAAACAGGTTGGCAAAAGTCTTCCCTCTAAGATCTGTCTTTTACATGGTCTTTGTGAACTGAGATAGGGAGATTGTGGTAACAAAAGGCATGGTTGTGGGTGTCTCACAAGGATGAGCAGCTGCATCATGTGCCTGGTAATTTTCCGTAGGCCACAACTCTGAGCTGATAAGAGAGGAGAGGGGATTCACTATCGGATTAAACTGAGGAACAATCTGCTTGTTCCAAACGGCACCTTGGGGTTAGAATTTTGTACAGATAGGGAGAGTCTTGAATTTTAATCAGGATGGACTGGAGCACAGGCTGCTTCACTCATGACAGGCCTGGAAATGTGAAGATGTCCTCAGTGTACAGGTTCAGAGTACAGGTTAGGGAACCCAAGCAAGGCCTTGGGGCATTATTCTGATACCAGCAGAATAATCTACTGTGTGGTCACTAGGTTAGGATGGTACACAATCTGATTGGCTACAATTAGGCCAGGGAGTATGAGGATGTTTTGCACAGGAGAGATTCTTAGGAACTCACAGCGTTGGTCTGTTAGGCAAGCTGTGTGGCACCAGCTAAATCGAAGCAGTGTTAGGATGGTGTGGGAAGGCATGGTCTTCATCACTCACCATTCTGGGCTGCTGCCCAGGTTGTTTCATCCCAAGTTGGCACACAATTGTAGGGATGGTAACATGGAGGAGGGTTCTGTGCCTTGCACCGGACGAGGCAGGCCCACAAACTACTTCATCCAAACTAGGCCTTACCATCTGAGGAAAGCACTGAAGGGTGCTTCTTGACAACTCACTAGGCTGGGCTGTTCATCAGACTGGGAAGATGAGATAGAAAAGGCGTGTGGAGAATTTGGTCACTCACTCAGGTAGCCTGCTGTACTGACTGCCTGGGGTCCTGAGATCACTTACTAGCCTGATCTGGTGCATGATGGCAGGGGCCTGGGTTTCACAGTTGGTTGTTTGCCCCAAACAAGACCCAGGAAGTTCAAGATGATGGCGGAAACCCACGTCTTGATACTTCACCAGGTTGAGTTTTAGTATAGCTGGTAGGAGCCAAGCTAGGCCTGGGGATGTTAATAGAACAGGATACATGACTGAGCTCTCCTCAGACTGGAATGCTGTGCGGTTAGTCCAGGGAGTGTGTGTATGGCTCTGACAGGTGAGACTCTTGAGAACTTACTACTGGGCTGGAGGGGCAGCCAGTATGATACCAGGTAGGCCTGTCAAGTACATTATTCTGGACTGGCATCATGAAATCGCACATTGTTAAAGATTTAACTTAGGATGTATAAGCTAATTACGTGGAAATAATTTCTCATCCAAAATATAGAAATCTTTCAATAGACATGGACTGTACAAAAGTATACAAGTTCAAAATTTACCAAATAAATGGTGACTAACCAAAGCTCATCTTTCACCCCACTAAGGAAAAGGAAAGTTACAAACTTGACCTCCGCTCTTTAAAAATGGGACATTTACTCGGTCTTAGAAAACCGCAAAAGGCAGTGTCTTTTAAAGAGTCCTTTAAAAGTCTGCTACTAAGGAACATTGTGCTCACTTGCTACTTTCAAAGCCAAAAAGTCAAACAAAACCAGGTCCTTTCATTCCCCATTATACGACCTGGATTTTCTTTATGTACATTTAGTCAAGAGCTACGGGAAGCACTTGATGTGACGTTTCCTCTAATTTCATGCTCACATGATTGAGCTTTCTTACTAAATGGCCAAAAAAGTTATTGAGAGCATTCAAGTGTAGTCGTGCAAAACCCCTCAAAAGATCGATTGTGAAAGACGGTTTGTTGAGACATAGATTTAGGGGATGAATAGAGAGACGTGTCCGTTCTAACAAAGGGCCCAGGTTTGGTTCCCAGCACCCTCAGGGAATCCACCTCCACATTCTGACTCCTCACGGCACACTACGCAAGCGGCATGCAGACATACATTCAACAAATCAGTCAGACACATAAATGGAAGATTAAATTAAACATACTTTTTTTTTCTTAAAGGAACAGATGTGACAATATAGTTATAAAGTCTGGGTAAAACTGGGACCAACATTTGACTTCACTATCTTGCAAATAAAGTGATTTTATCCTTGACTCACAGGCTAGAAACTCATCAAATGGTGCTGTCCAAACTATAGCAAAGTCGCTTAAAAATATTACCTCTCTACAATCTTATTTTGTGCTGGGTCTTCAGAGCTTAAATTCTAAAATCCACCCCAAGAGAATCACACCCAAAACAAAAATCATATTTATCCATCCATTAGAAGATTACCCGTCCGTCGACTGTATTGACTATACCTTGACCCCATACAGTCATTATATTGTAGGTTTGAAATGGGATTGGTCTTCGCCAGAGAATTTCCTCCCTGTAGCCCATTCTGCTGTATAGCATTTGCTGTTCGGTGATGCTTTGAAAACCATCTCTTTCTGGCAAAGACTCATACAGCACACAGATGGAGCCATCCTCTCCAATGCGGTAGGACACTTCATAGGGGTCAACCCAGAGTGTAAGTTCACATGGGAGAAACCTGAACAACTCTTGGTTGCTCAGACCAATCCGCTGGGCTGCCTGTCCAATGAGAGGATCCATCTTATGGTTGATGCGAATGCACCTGTAGCCAGAACCCTTGCAGGGCTCCTCTGGGAACCAGTGGTGTTTGTAATGTTCTGCCAGCAGCTCCTGCAGACTCTGGCTGAAGGTACGCAGCTGTTGTTCGCTCCTGACTCCCTTGATGCTGAGGAAGCTGGAGATGAATTCCACAGCGGCACAGATTTCTCCTATCATGGCGACTGCAAGGGTACAGAAGGGATGCCGGGAGTGGCAGAGAGCTCAGCAGTGTGGTGCTGAACGGAGAGTGGCCACCCCACGCTTCTGCCTGGTGGTCTAGAGAAAGCTATGCCACGAGGCAGTTACTAACTCTGGGGGGCTTTTTACAAAACATTTCTTTCAGAGGAAAGCAGTCATAGTGCAGGGAAGAGACGAGAGGAGAGAGAGACAGCCTGGCCACACCACTTTGACCTCTGTAGCCACCTCCGTAGCCACCTCTATCACTAGCTTGGAAGCCTCCAAGCACCGCAAGAGTTGTATTTCCAATTTTGAGAGGCAAAATTATGTACATTCTTAAAGGCACATTATGCTTAAACGGGATGAGCACAGGGCTTAACACATGGAGTACATATCTTGTCCTGTGAGTGTACGGAAGTGAAAAGCACTCGCTAGATGGTGCTGATGGGAAAGCTGTCTGACCAGCACTGGGAAGGGCATATGGGGATGGTGCGGGAGTAGATCTCCTTGATTACTAATACAGGGCTGTTTCTCCACAGCCTACTTAATCTCGACCAGTACTGAGTGGGTTTTGTTGTTGGGGAGAGCTTAGTCTTGATCACACACCAGGGTAAGCTAATGAACAAATATTTTCGTCCGACTTCACGCTGGGACTGTGTGGTTAGCACAAAAGGATGTAGCCCAAGCTATGCCTGGGATTGTGTAAATGTTGCAGCTAGGCAGGGTTATGGGTGAGTCGACAGGCCAAGATTGGCTTGTAAGTGCTGCGATCCTAGCTACGGTGTACAGTGTGCAAGGGCAGGGTCTTTATCACTTACCAGTTAGGACTGCGGAGTTGTTCCCTCACCCAGCTGGGCCTTGGTCACTCAAGATGCTGGTTTGGGGGCAGGCTATATGACAGAAGCTAGAACTGCGAGGGTTCATATGCCAGCAGCAGAATTGGATCTCCAGGTCTCAGCAGGCTGGAATGGTACAGAGTCTTATTGGCCTGAGCTAGAAAACAGTGTCTTAGGTGGTCAGGGTCTTAGGATCTTAACAGTCAGGAGTAGTGCCCAGACTGTTTGACTCTATCTAGGAATAGATACATGATAATGGTGCATGTAGGCAGGTTTCTGTATCCCTCACTAGACTGGGTTAAGTCTAAGTTAGGCCTCAATATGTGAATGATGTGGTATTACAATGTCTTGATAATTCAACAGTCTGACTTAGTGTCCTGGCTGATTGACCCCAGATGTGTTGGGGACTGTAGAGTTGGTCCAACAAGAGCTGGGTCTTAGTCACTCAGTAGACAGAATTGCCCTGGGATCTGCTTGAATCCAACTAGCGGTGGGAGTGTGACTAAGGCATTGTATGGGGATTTCTTGGTGACTGACCAGACTCTGCTGTTGGTCAGGCTCTAGGAACAAAAGCCAGGCCTGTGAGGATGACAAAGACAGGATACTGGGCTCTTGTTCATCTGTGCTCATAAACAAGTTGCTAGAGCTCAGCTAGGCCTGGACGTGTGAGGACTGGGTGGTACAAAAGGCTCGTAATCCCCGAGGGAGAGCTACTGCTGCCCACGCTGTTTGTTGTAAACATGTCTAGGATTGTTAGGCTCATGAGAGGGTCTGGTATTGGTTATATTGGTGAACCCAGGGTACACCAGTGGGTAGGTGACTTAGTCCCATACAGCTCTGTGACTATGGAGATGACAATGGAAGACAGAGTTCAGGGACACAGAAGATGGCTTGGGTGCAGGCTATGTGGCTTGTGATAGCCCCGATAGTGTGGGACTGTTGTACAATAGCAGGGTTCTCTGTCACTCACCAGTCTTGTCTGGTACACATATGCTTGGGATTCTAAGATCACTTTCTAGTCTAGGGTGAGGCAGGAGGACAACATTCTGGGACACTAACCAGGTTTGACAGGCTCGTATGCTCCTTGCCCTGAATTAGGCCAAGGAGTATGAGGATGGGGCATGAGGGCAGGGTCTTTCTCCCTCACCAGGACAGGTACCCAGGCTGCTGCAGTCATTCTAGGCCTGGGGATGTGGTGATGTTCTTTGAGCACAGAGGTCTATGTTCTTGAAAGTACAGGGGTCTGGATCCTTCCCCAGGCTGGGCTAGAGTTCAGCCATTGCTACTAAAGCTGTCACAGAGTATTAGTGCCACACCGAGAGGTCAGGATCTCAAGTCCTACCGGACTAGTATGACGGACAATCTGAGTCCATAGGTCAGGTTTGTGAGGGTGGTGATAGCCAGTGAGGTTTATAGGAACTCACCAGGCTTTGTGACCACTGCTAGGCCTGGTAGTGTGACTATGAAGGGCAGGTGTAGAAGCTTGATCTTTCCGCAGTTTGTCCTGGCCCTCGAGCTGCTTAGACCCTGCTGACCTTGGACTCTGGGGTTGACATTGAGCACAGTGGCTGGGATACTCACCAGGAAGTGCTGGTCAGTGATCTGCTTGACCTGAGGGAGGAAGCTGCTCAAAGAGGAACCCTAGTCACTCATCTTGGTCAGGTTGTATGAGCCAAGGTAACCTGTGATCATGAGGAGGGTACATGAGAGAAGGTCTTGATCACTAGGCCACTCATGTCTCCTCTGGTGGCAATATTGCAGGTTCCAAACAGCTCATGGAATCATTAGGGTATGGGGTGTCCAAGGTCTTGGCCACTTACCAGAGTAAGCTGGGGAGGAGGCAACTTGATCCTAGGTTGACCATGAACTGTGCGGATAGCCCAGTAGGATGAAGTGTAGGTATCTCATCAGCTGAGATTTTTCTAGACTTTTTTAAAGCCAAGATAGTCCTGGAAATGTAGCAGTGGTGGGAAAGAGCAGGGTCAGGGCCATACACCTGGTTGGGCTGGTCTGAAATCTGCCTGTACTTGTGAGTCCACTGCCTAGTCTGAACAGGTGCAACAGGGCATGGGTCTGTGATTTGGGAATAGGCAAAGGAGTATCAATACAGCTGTGACAAGTAAGGGTCTTGGGTGAACAGGGAGCTGCTTGAGTGGGACTATGCCTGGAAATGTGAGGACTGTCCTGGAGGCCAGGCTGGCTATTCAACCCCACAAAAGGGACCCGGGACTGTGGTGGATGCCCTAGAATTGCAAGGGTCTGGGTCATGTACCAGTATGGGCTGGTCAGTGAGCAGCTTCAGCAAAAATAGGCCTGGTAGTATAAAGATGATATAATGTGAGGTTAGGGTACAGGTTCTGAAATCTAAGCTAGATCCAGGAATATTAGTAGGAAAGCTGGGATGGGAAATATTCTGATTGGTCCCAGCTTATTCAGGAACTGAGATGGCTCAGGCAGGTAAGATTCATATGAACTCACCATGCTGAACTGGTGTGCAGGTTATGTGATGCCAGCTTTGTGACACCAGCTAGGCATTAGGTAGTGCAGAGAATGGTGTAGAGTACAAGGTCTTGATCTCGTCACCTGCTAGCCAGGCTTCATGGCCCCTGCTGTGGCTAGGAGTATGGCGATGGCCAGGAGACCAGCAAGGCTCATGGCATTCAACGAGGTTGGGATCGTGACTGCAGTATGCCTCAAACTATGTCCACAAGTGTGAGGACTGAATGGGAAAGCAGGTAGGGTCTTGATCACTTACCACTCTGGTCAGGTATCCAGGCTCCTTGGTACCAGCTGGGCCAAAGATTGTGGATGGCAGGGAAGGAGTTCACAGGTGAGGGTCACTCTACTTTTGTTGATCTGCTTGACCTGAGCTAGGTCTGGGAGTCTGAGGAAAGTACTAGAGTGGATTTTTAGGTCACTCACCAGGTGGGGATGTTGCTCTAGCTCTATGAGTGTTTGTTATAGGCAGGTGGGGATGTTAGATACTCAGTAAAGTGGCCCAGTACACTGTCTTCCTGGAATCATGTGTTCACTCCCTAGTCTGAACTGTTACAAGAGGGCAGGGGTCTGGGTCACTAGGCCTGATTGGTCAATGAACTGCTTGACCCAAACTTGGCCTGAGTTTCTTAGGATGGTTCAGCAAGACGAAGTTTTGATCCTACCCTAGGCTGGGTTGGCATGCAGACTGTTCAAACCAAGCCTATTTAGGCCAGGGAGTTCTAGAAGGACACCCCAGGATAAGATCTTGAGCTCTCACAAGGCTGAGATGATGTGCAGTCTAATAGATCCCAGTGGGCCAGGGAGTACGAGAATGGCTCTGGCTGTCAATGTCCTGTGAGTTCCCCATTGTGGAACACCAGCCTTGCCTGGCAGTATAACACAATGTGTAACACTAGCTGGGCTTGGCAGTGTGAGGATGAGTCCTTAGTTACTCACCAGTCTGGGCTGGTACCCGCCTGCTTTACATGAGTGTCGTTATGGTGAGGATGGGTGGGGTTCTGTGTAACTCTCCAGGCTAGACTGGTACACAGACCACTTCCTGCTATGACATCACTGCTTAGTCAGATGTGGTGGGGGAGGGGTAGGAGGGGAGAGTTCTGTATCATCTGACTCAGGAATGTGATGATGTTGAGGGTTGCCTAGACTCTTTCACCTAACTTACACATGAGACTATGAGGAATATTCTGGAATAGCTCCTGGGTCACTGTCAGTTTTCCATTAAGGGTTAAAATAAATTTTCCCTGTATTTGATCTTTCTCTAATAAAGCTTTTTTCATGGAAAAAGCTGAGGAATATATCTTTCATGATAGTTTTACAAGGGAAGCTTTACTTTACTGATCCAGCCTAGCACACAGATATTATCAACCTATATGCTATAGTGCTTAGGATGTAAAAGCTGACTGAATGAGTTAGCTGTGTGGCAGATTAAGTACATGGCTTTTTTAATACTCTCAAGGCATGTTATTATTGTTGTTATTGTTACTGTTTTGTTTTTTGAGGCAAGGCTTCTTTGTGTAGCTCTGCCTATACTGGGACTCACTCTGTAGACCAAGCTGGCCTCGAATTTAGAGATCTGCTCAAGGCATATTAGTAACTTTATTTCAAGGCCAAGCAAGAAGGTTGTTTTCAGAAATAGGTATTGCAATGGTTCATGGGCGGGCCAGCAGAGGGTGTGTGGAACCCTGGGCTCAAGAACCAGATTTCTTTATAACAGCTCTCCATTCTACCTGAGTGTGACTTTTACACACGCCACCTCTTAATTGGTGAGTTCCCCCATCTGTTCATCTTAACTTTTTCTCCAAACATGAGGAATTATCATTTAGCTTCCGGAAATATTCTACTGTTTCTAGAAACAGGGGGACAGTCCCCAACCATGGTTTTTATGGCTACAGTTGAGCCCTTTGCTGACATTCATCTCTGGTTGCTTCCCCTAGCTAAAATGGTGTCTTGATGTCCTGGGACCAGTCCTCCCGCGACTGGGAGCCGAGGGTCCCTCAGATTTTTCTTTTTTCTTTTTTTTCTTTCTTTCCCTGCTGTAAAAGTCTGCTCAGAGAGGCCTCTGAGCCAGCCAGGCTTTAGCACTCCACCTGTAGGCAGAGGATGGTCTACTACAAACCCTGCAGTGTTTGCCACCTATTCACACCCTGCCTATAGAGGAGACATGTCTTTGTATAGGCCTTGTGGTGTTGCTGTTTCCATGGTTTCAGCTATGGGTAGAAAGCCATCCATTCTGTCAATCCAGCCTTCCCCTGGGATGGACACCTTTTAGGGGCCCTTAAACCTCAGGCCTTAATGACCTACTTCTTCAGCTCCTGCCCTCATGCTGCTAGTGTCCTGATGGCTCCATTTTTATGGGAGCTTTCTAACTACTGTCAGTACACAGGTAAATGGAAGGAGTTTCCCCAAACTGTCCTTGCCACTGCTTCTGCTGCCATCAAGATTGGTCAGATTCACAAGGCAGCTGTTTTAAATCCCAGCCTTTTGCTCTCTGCTGTGGCTTGTGGTATGACGACTCAGCGACAGGGCGAAACACACCTCTAGGTCTCTGTTACTATTAAACTTAAAAATCCCTGCAGCTCAAAAATCATGGCTTTTTCATACAACATGAGACTGCTGCCATTTTGACTATGATCAGGTGACCTTACCGCCATCTTAACTGAGGTCAGGTGACTTCACAGCCATCTTAACTGAGGTCAGGTGACTTCACAGCCATCTTAACTGAGTGACTTTTCCATACAACATGTGATCACTGCCATTTTGACTGAGGTCAGGTGATCTTTCCACCATCTTAATTGAGGTCAGATGACTTCATTGCCATCTTAACTGAGAGCCGTTTTTACTAAGCCATTTTGACTGAGGTCAGGTGATCTTTCCACCATCTTTACTAAGATATTCTCTGTCTGGTCCTTCAGTGCTGACTCTGTTGCATGTGTGTTTTGTGCAGTGGCATGCCTTTGGTAGGGCCCACCAAGAGCATTCACTTCACCCAATTTTTGTTCACTGTGTGTTGTGTTCATACATATAGCTTAATGCACCTATGTTTACTGTTAGATGTTATAATTGTCTGTGCATTGCATCTCATTTCAGACTACAAAACAATAAGTCTCATGTTTTAAATTGGTATGTACTTTTAAATCTCTTACAAAAATATTTTATATTTAATCCAGTCCTCATTTAAAATATATTAATATGTTCTTTACTATTGTCACTTCTGCCATTAACCTTCTATTGCAAGCAGTTTTTAATTCTTTTTGTCTTCCTATAGGTGTAAGTCTTACCTGTTAAGAGCCAGTACAGTGAAGTTCAGACCCAGCTCTCCAGGCAGATTCTATACTGTAGTTACACCTGATAAACAGCCCTCAACTGCTCAGAGATCTGGGGAATATGGCATTTAAATATTTAATTATTAAAAAACTTTTTATAACAAAAAGAGACAGTTTGACAGTAGAGCAGCACTCTACTTCCCCCAAGAAGACAGAAGACAAATGGGCACAGGACAGCGTTCATTCTGAGTTCACTTCAACTGCCAAGCGCTGACCACTGGGAAAAACTGCCTTTCATCTAAACTGAAGATCTCCAGACATGGACAGAATCACTGGAATCAACAGCCTAGCTGCTCAGGTCAAGGTAGACTTGTCTTCCAAAAGATTTCTTAGCCCACAGGATCTTCTGGAGCCTGGTAGGCCCTGCACTAACCTACAAAAGGCAAATGTGACCTTTAGTGACCATGGAGGACCTGAGTAGTAGCTCTAGGTGCCAACCAAGTAAGTTCTCTGTGGTTTTTAAATCAATAATTCAAGTAAAATTTTTTTCTTCTCAAAGATCTATGATGCAGTTTGACAGCTGAGAGGTCTGTCAGTTTAAAAGGACAATCTCACCAAACAAATTTCAGTAAAATACAAATACAAGACCTGCAAGTTACAAAGGTGTGAAGACAAATACAAGTTATCAAATTCCTCTTTGCTGCCTTCCATAGTCTTAAAATACTTTTCATTGTGCAAAAATATCTGTCACAGTCTTTCTGACATAAATATGCTACTTCTTTACACAATGTATATGCCTAAGACTTCTGTTTTCACAAATACAAAAAATTCTTGTGAGTTCCAGGGAGCTGAATTGAAGGATTCACCTTAAACAGGTCAGATACACCCCCCTCAATTCCCTGGTCCTAATTTTTCCCTAAACTTATCTTTGTCTTTGTTATTCCTTTCCTATGGTCCCTTTAAGAGCTAGTCACACCTAGCTCCCAGCTACTTCTGACCTCATCGCCATCTTGGCTTTCCTCTTTTCTGTCCGTCTCTTGCCGTGTGCACACGTGTTTCTGTCTCTCTCTATGTTTGTCTCCATGTCTTTATGTCTCCCTTTCTTTAAGTAATAAATGTTTACCTTTATGTCTAGCCTTATGTCTGTTTACTATTATCCGCCACACCTGCCTGCCTCACTCTCCCCTGCTGCATGACGGGACCAGCTCTGCTGCCGCCGGAAACCTGTACTGCTCTGGCGGCAGCTTCTGCCTGGCTTGTAGGTCGCTCGGGGCATTCCCAACATCATATTATTTTTAAAGAACAATATTGGTGCTGTGGACTCGACAGATTCACCCGCCAAGGGCCAGGGTCCCAGCTTCACCTTTCGTCTGGGACTCTGAGCACCAACTTCTGGGATTGAATCGGGACCAAGGGCCTTCTCAACACTGCCAACTGCCTGGACTCCTTCCTACAAACAACACCGTCTTCAATTGGTGAGTCGCTCCTCGTTCTGCTACAGACGGTTGCTTTCCTTTACCGGAATCATGTTTGGACGACCCCGGGGGTTGGTCTGCCTGCGTTAGCACTGCACACTTCCCGTGCTGTACATTCGACATTCGACTGGGGACCGGGTCTTCAGTTTCTTTATCTTTTTTCATTTTCACTTCTTTTCTTTCCTTTTTCTCTCCTCTCGTCGTACCACCGCAGCCCCGGCCTCTGGTTTATCCAGCTAGGCCCATAGCTTCCCACCCGTGAATCGAGGACGCTCGTTCACGTGGTCCTGGACACTTGTTTGTTGCGTGGGTTTTCACGATTCAGACTCTGGATAGCAATCGTCCATGGCAGGCAGCTGCTGGCTTTTCCATCCCAGCCATGAATTGGTGCAGTTTTTATTTTCGGTTCCAGACTTTTGCTCCCTTCTGTGGCTTATGGTTCAGCATGTCAGCTCAACAACAGCTCCAAAACTGTAACTTTTCCCCACAACATGTGGCCACCACCATATTCATTGGGGTCAGGTGACTTTATCGCTAGATTCACTGAGAGCCAGATCACGCGACCAAGCTCTCTCATTCTCATGTATGTCCTGCCTTTCCTCTCCCCCTCCTCAGTGTTCTCATTAACTCTGATTACAGGTGATTTGCATAGTGACGCGCTTCTGATAGGGCCCATCAGAAGCATGCACTCTGCCACTCTGCCTAATTCCTATTCAATCTTTCTATGTATAATGATTGTTCATTTCATCTCATTTCAGACTACAAAATCATAAGTCTCATATTTTAAACTGGTCTGTACTTTTAAGCTGTTTTCTACCATTGTCAGTTCTGCCACTAATCTTAATGTTACAAACAGTTTTTATTCTTTCTGTCTGTCTTTTTACAAATGTAAATCTTACCTATTAAGAGTCAGTACAGTCAAACTCAGATCCAACCTTCCAGACAGATTCTATACTGCAGCTATACGTAATAAACAGCCTCAATTGCTCAGAGATCTGGGGAATGTGATATTTAAGTATTTAATTATTTAAAAAACTTTTCATAACAAAAAGAGAAAGGTTGGCTCCTAGCAAGCACTCTGTTTCCTCCAAGAAGACAGAAGACAAACAGTCAAAGACCAGCGTCCATCTGCAGTTTGCTTTGACTGCCAAGAGCTGACCATTGGGCAAAAACTGCCTTTCACCTAAACTAGAGACCTCCAAACGTGGACAAAATCGACAGCCTAGCTGCCAAGGTCAAGGTAGGCCTGTCTTCCTAAAGATTTCTTAGTCCACAGGGTCTTCAAAAGCCTGACAGGCTCTGCACT